CAAGATCTCCATGTAAAAATGCGGTCTTTGCATCCATTTGCTCGAGCTCTAAGTCATCATTTACAACTGCAGACATCAAAATTCTGATAGAAACGTGTTTCACAACAGGAGCAAAGACTTCTTGATAATCAATGCCCTCTCTTTATGTGAACCCACGAGCCACAAGCCTAGCTTGTATCTTTCTGGCTCAACCCCTGGAATTCCCGGCTTCTTTACATATAACCACCTGCAACTAATGACCTTTTCATTTACTGGCCTATCAACAATGTCCCATGTCATGTTCTTTGTCAATGAATCCATTTCCTCTCCCATAGCACTATTCCATTTTTCCCAATCTTGAGATTTCTGAGCATCATGGAAACACTGGGGATCATCTATTTCTGTGTCTTCTGCAGTGAAAAGTGCAAAAGCCACCATGCTGTAATCCGTGAGTCTTGCTGGTGGAACAGTAGTTCTTCTTACTCTGTCTCTTGCCAATTGGTACCCAGCCAGCTCATCAGTTTCTTCTTCAGCGTGTATCTCTTCATTTTCTGCATTCTCATCATTTGTTTCACTTGAGCTTTCTGACAAAGCTCCACCTTGATCAATACTTCCTACAGCTTGAGATACATCAGGATTCATATTAACAACCAACTTGACAGTTTCTCCACTTGATTCTCCTTTTTCAAAATTTCTTTTAGCGCCTTGTTCTTCTTGTGGTTTTAAATCCTTAAACACCTGATCTTCATGGAAAACAACATTCTGACTTACCACATATTTTTCTTCTTCTAACAACCAGACTTTATAGCCTTTTGTTCCTTGTGGATACCCCAAGAAAACCCCTTTAAGAGCTCTTGGTTTCAGTTTTCCTTGATCATGGTACACATAAGCCACTGAACCAAAACGCCGGAGATGCTTATATCCTGGTTTTCTGTCAAGCCAAATCTCCTCAGGTACATTGTGGTCTATAGTTGAACATGGTGATCTATTGATCAGATAAGTAGCAGTGGAGGCTGCCTCAGCCCAGAACTCTTCACCAAGTCCTGATTCATTCAATAAACATCTGACCTTCTCCATAATAGTGCGGTTCATCCTCTCAGCAACACCATTTTGTTGTGGTGTGTAAGTGCAAGTTCGGTGTCTTTCTATGCCATGTAACTTGCAATACTCGTCAAACTTGGCATTACAAAATTCTAGACCATTGTCAGTCCTTAACACCTTAACTTTCTTGCTCATTTGGTTTTCCACCAAATCTTTCCATTCCCAGAACTTCTCAAAAGTTTGATCTTTTGTCTTCAGGAACATCACCCAAACCTTTCTTGACTTGTCATCAATGATTGAGAGAAAGTACTGATTTCCTGATATAGATGGAGTCATACTAGGAGACCCCCACAAATATGCATGTAGATATCCAAGCACATCATCAGTTCTGTGTCTTCCCACATTGAAACTCAGCTTTTTAGCCTTTCCCATAACACAATGCTCACAAAACTGCATATCTTTGATGTCTTCCTTTTCAATCAGCCCTTTACCAGTCAATATCTTCAAGTTGTTCATGCTGATATGGCCAAGCCGACTATGCCACAGTGTTGTCTTATCTGACTATTTTTCAATGTTACAGTTCTCAGGTAAGACTGTTTCTCCATCCAACACATACAAACCATTTGAGAGATTTCCCCTGAGTGCAGTCTTGTCATTCTTGAAATACCTTACCATCCCATTACCTCCCTCATGCTTAAATCCAAGCTTATCCAGGGTTCCTGTTGAGATAAGGTTCCTTCTCAGATTTGGAACATATCTAACATTCTGCAGCATGTTAATAGTCCCTCCATGTGTGTTGATTCTAATCGATCCTTGTCCCTGTGACTGCACCGTGTGATCATCACCCAACAGAATTGTAGTACCACCATTATCATACAAGTCAACAAACCAGTCTCTTCTTGATGTCATATAGAAAGTACATCCTGAATCCAAAATCCACACATCCTTAGCATTCTGATCATTAATGCTCAAAGCTTCTGAGAAAACCACTTTTTCTGTAATAACTCCTGCCTCTCCCTGTCCTTCACTCTCAATTTTCTTCTTTCTAGCATAGCAATCCTTTTTCATATGACCCTCTTTCTTACAAAACCAGCAAGTAACCTTTGTCCGAGACCTTGACCTGCTTCTACCTTTCCCATTCGTATCCTTGGGACCTTTGGTCATTGTTCTTCCTCTTTCACTCGTATACAAGCTTGCTGTAGGGCTCTTATGCTCTCTCTTGGCCTCTACGATTTCTCTTTCCCTTGACTTGGCAGCTGATATAACTTCCTCTAGTGTCAGTGAGTCCCTTCCATACTTGAGCGTATGCTTTAACTTATCATAATTTGTTGACAGAGATGTTAAGAATAGGATAGCTTGAACTTCATCAGTAACTTTCACATCAAGGCTACCCAACTCTGCAACAATTTTCAGAAAATCATCTACATTTGCATCAACACTTCTGGATTCATCCATCTTAAACGTATAGAACTTCAGCTGTAGATGAATCCTGTTTGGTAAAGTACTTTCCATGTATAACCTGTTCAATGTAGACCACATCTCTGCAGCAGTGACACATTTCTCAATCTTTCTCAACACATGGTCACCAACGCTTGTTACGATCCATCCCATAGCTTTCTCCGATTTTTCAATCTTACTAGGGTCAGGAACTACCTTAGTCAGAGATTCTGATGCGGTTGCACCATCTTCTTCAATCTTCGATTCGCTGCTACTTGGAATCGTCTCCACCATCTCCAACTTTTGGTCTATGAGTACATCCTTCAGCCCGAGGATACCAAAATGTGCCATCATCCTTATTTTCCATAAGGAAAAATCTCCAGTACCGTCAAATCTATTTACAACGACTCTCGTGTTTGCCAACAGCTCGTCAGCCATGATTTTGTACCAAAGGTGTCAACTTTCTTCTAAAACTTGAGTCTTTTATGATAAAGTTTGAAACTTTTGTGTAAAGTTCAAAGCTTTATGATAAATATCAAGGTTTTCTTCAAAAAATCCAAACTTTCTTCAGTTTCTTCAATAAAGCTTGGACCTTTTACCGTAAAACAGAGAAAGTTTCAATCTTCTTCACTAACCTGAGAGCTCTGATACCACTTGTTACTTTTCACACTCTCTACAGTTTGTTTCAGCCTCACAAAATCACTCCCGTTCTCTCCCTTGTCTCTCTCTCTCTCACGTTTGTTGTTTGTTAAAACAGAGGAAAGAAGAACAGAGAAAAGAAAGCAGGAAACACAAGCACGCAAGATTTTTACCCGGTTCAATCCAATCGGTGTGATTGAATTTACGTCCGGGGCCAGATCAACTTTGACAATCCACTAATAAGAAGGAGATTACAGCTCAAAACCTGAGCAATACACAAGTCTCAACAATGAACAAAACTTATGTCTTTTTCTCGCCAACTTGAGAAAGAAGCTGTCTTGGAGATGTGTATTTATACACATTTGAAAATGAAACAGTGTAGCCCTCGACGTGGTTCTGGTCTTCACTGTACCAACTCAACTTTCTCCTAAACCAACTGCAAACCGCATAACCATTCAATCATCTCTAGCTTGACATTAAACCGGAATCAAACCAGAAACTTGAATTATACCGCTTCTTCTCTAACACATATCGTGTTCTCCTTCACGTAAACAAAAATGATATGCTTATGCTTTATGGTTTGATGAATCTGATCAATGAGAGATTGGTTGGGTTCTGAGAGATGAAAGATAGCTAAGGCTTATCCTCGTCTTTCATCGTGTTTTAGTAAAAAAAGTAACAACTCTTATTTGGGCAATGTCGTGTTTGGACAACCTTGGAATTGAAGAAATACTTGTTGAGAGTGATTCAAAGAGCTGATAGGAAGATACGTAATGTATGATCTCAAGTTTAATAGAATGTTTGAACAAAAAACAAAAACAAAAAAAAAACTATAAATTGAACATTTTGAAATATGTTTTTCGGATGACATTTATGTTTTTTATTTATTTCAACTTCAAATATGTTTTACAACGAGAAAACCTAGAAAATTATATATAAAGTCGATCTAATCAAGGAAGATGACCTAATGGTCATAATCCACACAATTGGAAACAATTCATAATGCCTAAAAGAAAAGGAAACAAGTTCAATCCTAATAGCAGTATTTTTTTTTACATCTTTGGATCGACAAAGCCCGATCCATAGCCAATCTCTACTACGCGGGGTAACGCGACTAAGTGGAGGCGAACTCCGGTGGGGAAGGCGGAGTCAAATGGATTTAACCACTTGACTAAATGCACATCCCCTCCTAATAGCAGTATTATAAGCAAAATATTTGAATTTGAATGAAAGAGTCCTAATAAATATAATGCATATGAATGTTTTCTTGGCTTGATTTAACTAACTTGAAACGTCTTTAGCTCATTTGGTAAATTCTGGTGCAGCTCGAGAGCGAGAACTGAGACAAGGAAAAGAAGACATTGCAATTGTGAGTTTAATTATGAAATGAGCTGGACAATTCTAATTGATAACTTTTTTCTAATTGATAACTTTAGTAGTGTGTGCTCTTTAGATAGTGTACTTATGGAACAGAGATGTTCGGATCCATGCTAATTGGGCTACATATATGTTATTGTCCAAAGCTCAATATGCAATGTTATTGAGTCTTCACAATTCATGGCTGTTTTGAGCAGTTCTTGCACAAGACATTCTAGGCTTCTTGGACTCTTCCAAGTTTGGTCCGGGCTTGGTGTTGACAAGGCTCATTGGCCTCCATGCAAGAAATAATTCCTTCTTGTTATGTTCATAAAACGTAAGGATCTGAAAAATATAAAGTGATATTCACATCATTCTACTGTTTTTTAGTCCTTCTAAAAATAGATCAAACCTTGGGTAGAGATCAAAATATGTAATTTTCTAGTCAGTCAAAAGAATGTGAAGAAATAAAATCTGGACCACTTTCCATTCTTGGGAACACACTCGCTCCACACAACAAAAACAAAGTGGGCCTTGATCTGACCCCTTGTTCTAAAAATCGGGCTAGGCGGCCGATTAATCGGCGCCTAGGCGCTAGGCGGTGCTGTACCGATGGGTTTAATGCATAATCGGTTTAAGAAATCGGTTTACTGATTACACCCCGCGTAAACCCGATTTTTTGGAAAATCGCCGATTTAATAATTTAAAAATTTGGGCTTTAATTCGAATTGGGCCTCAAAATTAATTAAACCCATTTATTTTTCTGGATTTGGAATTTTAGTTTAATGAAACCCACATCCACGTTTTCTTCTTCTCTCCACTCGTGCATTACAGTGAAACCAAACAAAATTAACGAAACCTAAACAAGTTTTTTTCTTAAAAGAATGGAAGAAACCTAATGAACTTTGCTCACATCCCATAATCTCGTCTCTCAAAAATTAGTTCTAACCCTAACAAAATTTGATTTGATTTCGAGCCACTCTTATCTCTAAAATCTCAACATCGGCACTACACAATTCTGCAACTTTCTCTCTGGTGCGTCTTCGTTCTTCTTTTTAGATTTTATACTTTGTTTGCCAATTAGGAATGTGAAGAACGCTTGTGTTTTTCTTGTTGTTCGATTACTTGTTTTTTTTTACTGTGACAGTTTGAATCTTTCTTGATGTTTCTATCATCCTTCGTTTGATTCAATTGTTTGATCATTTGCAGATAATTAAAAAGTCCTAACTAAACAAGAAGTCCAACATATGCTAATTACTTGATCATTGAAGAAATCAAACGAGGAAGAAGTAGTAGTCTTCACTTTTTTGTGACCTTTCACTATTTTTTATGTGTCTCTAGATCAAGACCATACTATTTTTTGTATAACATGTTGGAACTTTAAATTGTATTTTGAATACCCATTTAGGATGAATGTCATTTTGATATAAAGTAATTTTGCAAAAGTATTGATAAAAGTTTTAAAATATTTTAGTATTTAAATTGTACTAGAAATATTTTAAAAATATATAAAATATTGACTAAAAACTAATCCCGATTAATCCTCGTGTAATCTCCGATTTTCTTGCTAGGCGCTAGGCCCACCCTCACCGCCCGACTAGCGTCTAGCGATTTTTTTAACATGGATCTGACCCAACATAAGAACATTTATCCTCTTCTCTCTTCAAATTTAATTCTTTAAAAAAAATAAAAAAAAAGAACACATATTTTTACGAAGCCCTCTTGAAAAAGAATACAATAACAATTAGTGGAAAAATATACTTTTGACATTAACGGAAAGTAAATAACCTAGCCCCTTAATTAATGGCGAAGATGATAATAAATTATTAATGATGATAGTCATGAGATTTTTTCTCATTCCTAATGATTTTTGATGCATATTATCAACGAATGATAATGGAGATTTGTAATTTTTTTTCAGGTTTCATAATCTTTTTTCGTAAGACAAAAAAAACTTTGAATCAAGAGAAATGAAAATGGTAGAAAATTTCGATTGATGGAAATATGAAACTATATAATAAAATCGACATTTTTGTTTATCTACATAAAGATCAAATGCTAACGAATCAAAAAAAAAACTGGATTACGAAAGAAGAGGAACCCTAACAATTTGATCGGAATCAAGATCACGATCACGATCTTGATCTTCTTCACCGCAATCATAAACAGATCTAACCAAAACCAACTGATCTTCCAAGTATCTCTGAAGCAATCCAGCTTCTTCTTCCGGTTCAAATCCGCCGCAACCACAACCTTCTTCACATTTCCGGAGCCTCAAATCATCTTCATCGCCGGCGGATTTAGCAAACCAAGGATGACGACTACGGAGGCGGCTAAAGATCTCGACGGCGCAGAGAATTGGGATGGAGGCACAGAGGATTGGGATTAGTAATGGAGAACAGAGGAGAAAGAAAATGAAGCGGCTTCGTCGTGTACGAAGCCAAAAGACGTCGGTCAACATAATGACGACGACGGCGCGTGAAGAGTCATGGCCGGATTAAATGGAGGAGAAGTGGTCGTGCGTTGTACCACGACTTGGTAAATGAGTGGGATCACAGAGAAGCTTCTTTGGCACATGACTTTGTTCTTTTTATTTGACTTTTTTATATACTTGTCTTTGGCTTTCTCATGTGACTATTTTACTACAAAATTTTATCTCTCTATTATATTGAACAAGACCATTTTGGATTTGTACTCATCTAGGATTTGTTGTTGTACGTTCATTTTGCTTTCTATTATATTGAACAAGACCATTTTTTTTTCCATTTTGTATTCTGATTTACTAGTTAATTGCATAAACTTCCTATTACCAGATAATATCTTAATATCTCATTACCTGATAACATTATCTGTATCTGTTACTTAAGATAATGCGCTATCTCGCAGCTTAGTGATAATCTTATCTGTATCTTAATATCTCATTACCTGATAACATTATCTGTATCTGATATGACGAAACTATCCTTACAAGACAATAAAATCGTTAGTTTTGTAAGCTGTAGAATGCGCTATCTGCAGCTTACAAAACTAACGATTTTATTGTCTTGTAGGGATAGGTTCGTCATATCAATTTTGCTGGAAAAAAAACTAAGGTCTTGATTGGTTCTCCTGCTATCATCCGCCTAGCGGTTGTTAGCAGTTGATACAAATCATAGAAACTGTTCCCTACCGTTTTGGACCGCTCTAAATCGCCAGATTTCAAAAGCTCTTTCTTAAAAGCGTTTGCGGTTGCGGGTGGTTGCGATTGGCATAAAAAAAAACTAAAAAATTTTTTTTAGCAAATTAAAATATATAGAGAAATTGGAGTGTATAACCAACAAAAATTTATAAATTCACTAACTAACCTAAAACAAAAATGAGGGTGTATTATCTATAATAATACCATTTTACCCTTCCACATATACCATCATTATCACCGTCGCTACCATTGCCATCACCATCGTCAACAACGTCAACACCATCGTCACCAGCGTCACCACTACCATTGCTTCCACCCTATTAAATCTTATTCCATACTATTTTATTTTGTTTTATATTATTTTATTTATGTGTTATATCTCTACCAAAAGTTTTTTCTTATAATTTGTTTATTAGGATTTCACATATTTTATTGGTATTTGAGGGTTGAATATTTGATTTAAGGTTTACTACTTTTTATGTAGAGCTGAACTAATTAAAGTTTGAGTAAATAGTATGTATAGTATACTATTTTATACATTGTGTGTCTATATAGATCGTTATGTTATTCATTGATAACACTATTCACATCTGAATTTTTTTTGTCTGTTTTTAAAAATTCAAGTTATGATATATGAAGAAAATTATACAGATTTTTAATAGAAATATCATGAACTTGAAATCAATTTTTTTAGAGGGGAAATTGGATATAAATGATAATTAATTGATCTATTGTTCATCTATGCATTCTATATTCATAATTGATCATATAATTTTTAATATTGGTCATATATGCTTTAATATAATTAAAATCCCATTATACCTTCAGTTTTTTAAAAATCTTGTTTAACTATAAAAAAATTCCAAAATTAATTAGATTTCTTTCTAAAAACAATTTGAAGAAAATATAGGACAAAAATAACATTTATTTACTTTCCAGGTTTCTGTTTTCATCTCTTGTGTATGTCTTTCTCTCTCATGTCCAATTCCTATGTTACTTTGTCTCTTTGTCTCGTACATATGACTTTTTCCAAGTCATTCTAAAACAAAGCATTTTGGTTATAACATAAACGTTCATGTGTTACTTTTTCTTTTGCACTAAGTAACGTAAGAAGCAAATTCTAACACGTTTATCACTTGACTTGCTTTCATTATCTTCTTTTGTTACTAAACCTTAATTTGATTACATAATTTTGGGCCTTCTGGACTTATTTTATTGATTGTTGATATTTAAAAAGAATTTTGCATTACATACTCTGAAGATTTCATGATTGTAGATATTTTCATATTTTAAGATTGTTTTTGCTTTTGTATAGACATGGAAAACAAGTGTCTAAAATGCCTACCGATTGTCATTTACTTTGCATTACATACTAAATTACATAGAATTTATTTTCTATTTTTTGTAGAATATATAGGAAAATATAAGAATGTGTTTTCTAACAATTTTAGAACATGATTAAATGTTGAAAAGATATTCTAATCTTTCTAGAAGAAAGAGCAAAGTATAGAATATGTATTCTAAATTTCGTAGAAATTAGCTATCTAACTACCGTAGAACTGAAATACATTCTAATTTTTGTAGAACATGTAGAGTGCATAGAATACATTATCTAAACTTTATAGAACATGTGCAATGTATAGAATACACATTCTAAATTCAGAAAGTATATTCTAAACTTCGTAGATCATATTTTATTTATCCAAAATGGCAACAAAACGACATATTTTCGACTTTATAAGTATCATGATGACTTCTTCTTCATTTGCCTACAAATAGTTCTAAATTTATTTGAAAAACTGGTTAAATCAATTACAAAGGGTAAATTAGAAATATGTGATATTTAATCATAGAATGCATAAATGGACAATAGTTTAATTATTTATCCTTTATATCCAATTTTCCCTTTTTTAGATAAGAAAATAGGATGATTTACAATTAGAAAGCAGTAAACAAATTTTTTTTTAAAGATAAATTCTCTCTCCTGCCATCTCATCATTCTCCTCTCTCGCTAAAGAAGCCTAACACCAGGACAGTGTTGTCTTTTTACTCTCCCTGAAGGTTAATTACTACATTTACATATTTATGGTGTTAGTTAGTTAATTATTAAGTGAAAAAGTGCTAAAACTGCAAATCACCCAAATATATATTATCAAGTCATATATATATATATATATATTCAAAGTTAATTCTAAAAAAATAAACATTATCTAACATTAATTTTCCAATATTTATAATTATTTTCACTATAAATTTTATTTTTTAATATTTGAATAATTATTTATGGTTTTTCCTAAGTATAGATTCTTAATTTTTTCGTCGTCTATGTATAGATTCTTAACTCACCTTTTTTATTTAAGTAGTTACGTGTTTGAAACTATTAATTTATTTAACAGATACGCAAATGAATAAAATTTATGATGAATACTGGAATTACTTGTTTGGATATTTAAAATTCCAAATATTTTTAAAAATCTATAAGCATTATACAAAGTTCCATAATTTTTAAAACTATCCAAATTATTGGAAGCATCCATCCTATACAGTAAACCCACTATCAAAAGTATGTTGGGACCGAGGAATTCTATTAATTTATAGAGGTATTAATTTATCAATAAATTAATTTATAGAGAGACTTTACTATTTTTGTAATTTTTTAAAAAACTTCTATCTGAAAAACAGTTTTTTTTTCTTTATAATCAATATCTTTTTTTAATTAATTACAGGTAGAAATACAATTATTAAGCTTAGATAATAACACAAGATTTTTTGAATCAAGTAAAACTATTAGAAATGAACTCTAGCAAGAATTAAAATAAATTTAAGAAAAACAAACAATAATAAAGTTATATTTCATTAAATGTTTTACATATAATATTTTAAATATATATCATAATAATTCATATATGAAATATATAAATTAATATTATATATATATTAGGTTATATATATATATATATATATTGATAAGTTTATACAATTATTAAATTATAAAATTGATGGGACTATATGTTTACAAAAGATTCAGAAATTTTTTTTATCATATTGTTTTACCAATTTGTTTCATTTTTTACACTGGTCCCAACTCGGGACCGGAAGAATTTCTTAATTTACAGAGGTTTTATTGTATTAACATTTACCCAAATTAGTATGACTTTGGTTAATCATGTTTTTTTGTCCAAAGTTTCCAAACTTATCTTGTTATTCGAATAATCCTTTTCCACTTTTTATATGTTATTTTCCGTCTTGATACTAATGGCGGATCCA